AACGTACGTCATGCTTAAGTTCGTACGTACGTCATTTGGTAATGAATTGAATTACTTTTATTTAGGATAAAATGTTTGAGAAAAAATATTCTTCATCATCATCTCATCATCAAAAATTTCAGCTCATTAAATTCCACAGCTGGGCATGGACCTGGGCCTGTGGCTAAGTTTCACTTTAATCATGACGATTAGGAGGCGGATTTTTTTTTATAAAATAATGATGATAAGCGAGCACAAAGTACACTTGATGGTAAGTGGATGCTGTGACCCATAGACATTTACATCTATCTCAGATTAAAAATCAATGTAAACGCGTTGTCAACCCTGAGGACTAAGATTAAAAGCCTTGTTTCCAGTAAAAATAGTATCCGGTTCTCTACACTCGACATACGAAACACAGCTGCATTAAGCTCCTATTTCACATTGGTATACTCTGAAAGCGTGGTCCTTCCCCGGTCGAGCCAACCCATTTGTGCTACAACCATAATTTAGCTGCAGTTTGACTATACCACGTAAAAATACGAGGAGGTGGATTGAGGATCAGATTACCAGACGTTTCGCACAATTGACGCTTCTATCCGTAAACAAGATATACGCTATTAAAAAAAACAAGATGATTTATCTCCAGAGAAGTAATAAATTAGAAGAAGATAAATACGCGCCATCTATCGGAAGAAATAAGATTTTTCTGGTATTCTCAAAACTTTTCTAATATATTTCATTGCATAAAAATGCAGTCGGTTGTTTCTTATACCACTTCACCAAACGCCAGGGTAATTTTTTGGCGAATACATCACTCACTTATATTCTATTGTTGCGTCACAATTAATGCCAAGTACATGGCGACACCAGTTACCACTAGCGTATTCTAGTATCGAGTAGCGGAACTAGGGGAGTCAAGATCCTTCTAGAAATTTCCATGCTAGAACTTTCTAGAACTATCGACACCTAGTCAGTCAGGACAGGTATGTACTCGAACATTCTAGATGTTTCTACAGAAGAAGGTTCGTCTCGCCAATTCAATACAGACTGTGATCCGGGTCAGTATTGAATTGGCGAGACAAGCGAATACTTCAAAGCTATACAACTGCGAACTAAAGTGTCAATTTTGTTTTTTACATTTACATTAATTCACTTCTCGAACCCCAACCTCGTAACACTATGTATGTGTAATTCATATCCTAATTTTGGATTTAAACTTAAAATAGAAATATGAAATTTAAACTTGGGAGTGTTATTGACAAGTATGTAATTATTGTGTTTAAACTTATTAGTAATTAGTCATATATATATATATATATATATATATATATATATATATATATATATATATATCAATTAAAACTTTTATGTTCTATTTAGAATATTAACTAATATTCTAAATAGAACATATATAACAAACTATAAAATAATTACACGTATAATTATCCAGCACCCACGCTTTCAACTTCTTTTAAATATTTTATTTATTACCACATTAGTCTTCAGAAAATATGTCAATAAAAATAGGTGGTATAATTTTAATAGTAGGTGGTATAACCTATATTTTCTCCTCAGAGAGTGGGCGTTGAAATCGCCAAGGATCGCGATCCTGTGGATGGGATCAGCAAGGAATATGTTGGACGTGTTTGATAAGTCAGTCTGTGTTGGCATTACCGCTATGGGACATATAGAGACACCCGTAGACGCGGGAATGTTTGTTGCTATCTACGCGCAGCCACAGGTCTGTACCTTCAAGACCACCGAGGCGTCGAAAACATTTATGTCCTCTCTGACGTAAATGTAAGCTCCAGCCCAAATTTGATCCTATCCACAGAGATCGTGATCCTCGGCGATTTTAACGTCCCCTTGAAGTAATAATTATCTGCTGGTTACAATACTTACATGACGTCCCAAGGATGATGGATTCCCTTACTCTACCTCCTGACAGCCTCAAAAATATAAATTTATAATTTAAGAATATACGCGCCTCTACTGCTAAGTGTGTACGTACCCTAATTACACAGATGGAGGCACCTTGAATACTAATAATTGATTTTAATCGATTCGGGATTAACAGAGGACCGCGAGGCCGATTAACCCCAAGTCAATTGCCGATTTGCGACATTTCTTCGATTAAAGTCTAATTCATATATGTATGAATTAATCACACAATCATGTAATGCTAGTTACTAGACTTCATAGAATAACATAACATAAAAACTCACCTCTGTCACCCAGAGGGGTAGGCAGAGACTACAGACTTCCGTTTAGCATGATCCAGACACACCTCTCTCGCCTCTTCCACATCCTCCAGTACTCCTAATTTGGCCCGTTTTCAATATATCGCCAATATGGTCAATATACTTTCGCCTAGGACGTCCCTTTCCGATACTGCCGTTCACTTCTGCAACGTAAATTTGCTTTGTCACTCTTTCCTCATTCATTTTTCTTTTCTTTCTTTCTTCTTTTTCTTTCTTAATTTTCGTCACATCATCTTGCAAATCACACTTTTCTCTTATCACACAATTTGTCACCCTGTCATTCAGATTCAGCCCTAACATACTCCTTAACGACCGCATTTCTACTGCATTTATTCTAGTCTCGTGCATCTTCTGCCACACCCAACTTTTACTACCATACGTTAAAGTAGGGACCAACACAGCATTGTCAATTGTCATTGTCATTGTCAATCATACACATTCTGACTTTTCACAATAAAGTTTAGGGCCCCATTTACTCTATTTCCTGCGTTCACTCATCGTTCTATATCTTTATCATATCTCCCATCCTTGCATTTAGCAAGGACACGCATCCGACGCATCCCAAATATACAAACTCATCTACTTGGTCGATCAACTCCCTTTCTATTCTTATTTCACATATCGTTTTTCTTTCTTGTCTTTCAAAAACCATAACTTTCGTCTTACTTGCGATCACTTTCATTCCCTTTTCTCTTAATGACCTGTTCATTAATGTAACCATCATTTGCAACTCGGCCGCCGACGACGCAAGTATGACTTGATCATCAGCGTACAAAAGGCATTTAACGGTTAACTCACCAATTCTTAATGCGCACTCTTCTACTTTCAAATTTTCCAAACAACTGTCCATAAATAGGTTGAACAGCCACGGGGAAGCCACACTGCCCTATCTGACACCTTTATGGATGCCAAACCAGTCCGAGTAGGCCCGTTTGATCCGTTGATCCTAACACAAGCACTAGAGTCCCCATAAAGAGACTTTAATGTCTGTATCAACCCAGCGCTCAACCCAAATGACTACATTGTTTGCCATAGCACATCCCTGTCTACTCTGTCATAGGCCTTTTCCAAGACCGTGAACGCACAAAAAACCTTTTGATTTTTGGCCAAAAACTTCTTCGCGATCATGCATGATCATGCATGGAAAAGACGATCTGTACACCCCATTCCCTTTCTAAATCCCGCTTGCACTTCGCAAATTTTTTCATCAGTTTCTTTCATGACCCTTTCAATTAGTACCTTAGCATACAGTTTTCCTACAATGCTAAGAAGGCTGATACCACGGTAGTTTTTACAGTCCTGCTGCGACCCTTTTCCTTTTGTATATTGGGACTATCGCGGTTTTGCACCAGTATACCGGTACCTACTTCAGTTCCCAGCATAAATTAAACAAGGCTGCTGCACGCAGGCCTGCCACCCCTTCCTCTCAAGCCCTTAGCATTTCATTTAAAACTATCATATCCGGCTGCATTACCAGCTTTCATGCTTTTCATTGCTTTAATTATTTCATCTATACTTATCTCGCTACCTCTTTCCTCTTCTTTCGGAGTTTCTATTTCATTTAGTTCATACGTCGTCTCTTCACTCATAAACATGATTTCAAAATATTCGTTCTATCTCTTTAAACTCAAAACTTCATCATTCAGAAAATAGCCATTCTCGTCTCTTATAGCATTCATTATAGGCTGTTTTGAATGTCTTTTGGCAATTCCTACGAGTTTCCAGAACATTTTAATATTTGCCTGGAAGTTATCCGATATTCTTCTATCATTCTTATCCATTCTTTTTTGCTTTTTCTTTTCAACTACTTCTTTTACTCTCTTATTTAGATGTCTAAAGACTGCCTTATTTCTTTTAATATCATCATTCGTACCGCCAGAATCACCAGCCATTGTTGCTAGTAAATCTAGTCATAGAATAACAATTTATTTATAGGACAATGTAAACACTTTTACAAATATTGTTTTTTTTTAATGCGTATAGGTACATTTTAATTAATTTCAGAAAACATTCAACGTAATATTGACTGAAGAATTATATATATAAAATTCATCTGTCCGTGTGTATGTGACTGAACTCTTTTGGCTGAACCAATTTTGATGAAATTTTGTGTGATTAATTGTTTAGATTCACAATTGCGCTAGGTAGGTAGTGCTATTATCAAAATTCAGAAATCATCCATGCCAAGCCGGGGCGGGTCGCTAGTTATCTTATCAAATATTTTTGTTGAATTATCTTAAAAATATACCTATATATATATATATATATATATAAAGAGTGAAAAACGAGCACACAGTCCACCTGATGGTACGTGGATGCTGTGGCCCATAGACATCTACATTTATCCTCGGGCTTTTTGTCTTTTCCCCGTCCCCGTGGGTCTTTTCGATCGGATAGTAAGTGGATGCTATTACTGATGGTAAGTGTAGACATCTACATGTATCCTCGAATAAGAATCAAATTGCATATGCGTCGCCACTCCTGAGGACTAAGATGGAATGTCTCATATCCAGCAAAATGGGTCTCCGGTTCTCAACACTCACCATATGAAACACAGCAACGTTAGACTGCTACTTTACGCTGATACGAGTATTCTCTGATAGCATGATCCTTCCCCGGGCGAGCCGACCCATTCATACTACAACTATACTACTAATGTAGATGCAGCATGGCTCTGCCACGTAAAAATCTTTAGTTGCTTTTTTGCACTATCTCAAAACAATACTTTAGTTGCATTATCTTCTTTCTTCTTTCCAGCAAATGACGCTCACTCCAACCTCCCGGTCTTTCCGAGAGTGGGTAGAACCAACTGTGCCGTTGTACTTCGACGTATACCTATTCAACTGGACCAATGCGGATCAGTTTCCTGAAGAAATTCCTAACTTGGTAGAAATAGGTAAGTAGAGTCTCTTATCCTAACGGCCCAGTACGTAGCTACTCAGGTTAAAGGCAGAGCGGTATCTTGGGATATAAGGAGCCCCATAACCTTCGCAGTGAGCTTCGAAATACGTTTATAAAGAATAACGGTATCAAACGAGCACACAGTACATCCGTTGGTAAGTGGATGCTGTGGCTCATAGACATCCATCCTCGATTAAAATCAAAACTAGAGTGTAGAGAACAGAAGACTCATTGTACTGGTAACAAGGCTCCATTTTGAGTGACAAAGCATTTGTATTTTGATTCTTAATCTTTGCAGACGGGCTTTACCACTGTACCGTCTTTATTTACTATATCTGTAACAACCAGCATTTTAATGTAGAGACATGGATAAGGCATAATATTTAATAATACAGTGGACTCGCGATAATCCGACAAACATTTTGCAGCGCAGTGTCGGACTAGCGAATTTGTCGGATTATAGAGTACTGTACTGTACCTCTACAGTCCGGATTTTTTTTACAAAAGAGTACCTTGTAATCCGTATCCGTACCTAGTAAATATATATATATATATATATTTATATATATATATATATATATATATATATATATATAAATCTATATATATAAATATATATATTTATATATATATGGTGAAGTACAAATCATATCATTATGTATTTATGTCAAAATTAATAAATTAAATAACACAAAAGAGAGCTTATGTTTTATTATAAAATTAACGTCATTAAAGCTATACAATTTATAAAAAATATGCAATAACTTTATATTAGGAAATAATTGTGTGCAAACAAATGTACATTGTACATACTAAAATAATTAAAATTATGAATCAAGCAATTTAAGAGCGTTATCAAGAGGCTATAACGCTTTTTGGGGAATATTATGATCTTTCAACCATTTTCAGAATCAAATTTTTCAATCAGAATCAAAATAATACCCTTCGCATCGAGCACAATAGTGGTGGTGCGTTCAAGTTATAAATTGTTCAATCATGCATTAGCTGAGATTGTCAAAAAATATTCAATAATAAATGATAGACCATGTCGGATTACAGGCGGTGCCGGATTAGACAAGGGCCGGATTACCGGGGTCCACTGTATTGACAAATTTACCAAATTAAAAACTATACACTCCGTGCGGATAAAGAATGGGATTAGAAATGGCGACTCATCAAGCCTGTACCGTCAACATGTACAGCACCAATAGCAAAAATCCGCTAATAGCGAAACCAGACTGTAATTTTTTTTGTAGTTTATAGCATTTTTATCATTGATTTCAATGACAAGTTTGAGTGAAATCAACGTGTGAAAAGCACATACATATTGCAAGTGTGCGTGCGAGAGGTGAATAGGGGCGACGCCATTTTCTATCCCATTCTTTAACCGCGCGGGAAGTAAAAACATTATGCAATCGTCATACGATGACACTCTATTTCTCGTTATATTCATTATTAAACCCGTTTGAGTTGTGATATGTGTATTATCTGAATTATTAAAACTTAATTTTATTTAAGAATAAGGGTGACAAACGAGCACACAGTTCATCCGATTGAAGTGGATACTGTTGCCGTGTGGATAATGCTGCTGCGTTTCCTATGGTGAGTGTAGAATACCATGGTGTAGAACACGTGGTATTCCGTCTTAGTAATCAGAGATGATAGCGCATCTGTATTTTGATTTTTAATCGAGTTTACTTACTGTCACGTGGACTGTGTAAGAGAGACGATAAATTTTTTTATCAAGTATAAATCATCAGTTTTACGTCAGGTCCGTACCGGTTCCGAGAGAAGCGAAGTCACGTGAATGTGACGTGGCATCCGCACAACGGCTCCGTGTCGTACCAGACTTTCAGGAGTTGGGAGTTCGATGAGAGCAGCAACGGCACGCTGCAGGACAACATCACAACCCTCAACATTATTGCTGCTGTAAGTATATTTACTTATTTAACCTTGCACAAAAATTTACAACGTGCGGACCTAAAGCCTATATAATAAATGAGCAGAAAACACTATTTTAGAGGTCTAACATGATTGTAGGAGAAATAACTAAGGATCTATTTAAGTAAAACTAGATTTACGGATTTTACCGCGTATATTAAGTTTTTTATATTCCCAACGTTTCGAGCACTTTACAGCATCCATGGTCAAGGGGGAGACTGAGGTGTTTGACGTCGCGATGTCATAGTTAATCGCGGTTACCCACAGATTAAAATTGTTTTCTTTTATTTTGTTTCGGTCTACACAGTATGATTTTATAATATCTTGAAATCTTGCAGTTCCCAAGCAGATGGTAGCACACAACTATCTTCTCTATTGAAATTAGGATGTTTTTGATTTCAAAAGCCTCGCGAATTATCGTTGGAAGGAATCGGTGTTCTTTAGCGAGATAAAATAAGAAATCATTAATTAAGGGTCAACAAAATAATAGCTCCGTTGCACAGTGGCTTAGCGAGTTACAACGTTGAAGTCTGTGGGTTCAAATCCCGCACGAAACATGTATTTGTATGGTTGTGCTGAGTCTCAATGCAATTATATGTATAGTGTAATTTATGTAAATAATATCCACGATACAGACAAATATTATAATGCAGTTTCCCCCCGCATTTAAAAAATATCTTTAAAAAAAAAGAACTGACTTAAGAAGAAATGTTTATACTGTTTTTTTTATTAGGATAGGGTGATAAAAGTGCACACGGTCCATCTGATGGTAAGTGGTTGCTGTGGCCCATAGACATCTACATCTATCCTCGATTACGAATCAAAATACAGATGCGTTGTCACTCATGAGGACTAAGATGGAATGCCTCGTTTGCAGAAAAAAGGGTCTCCGGTTCTCTACACTCACCATACGAAACACAGCAGCATTAAGCTACTATTTTACCCTGGTATTCTGTGAGAGCGTGGTCCTTCCCCGGTCGAGCCGACCCATTCGTGCTACAACTATACTACTAATACAACTGCAACATGGCTCTACCACTTATAAAACTTTTTTCAATGCTAGCAATACTATTAACATTACTAATATTTCCTGTAACCATTCCCGGTAAGCCTAAAATGCTTGTGTTACGAGTGGTTCACGACAGTAGTCGAATGGCGGATTCGAACCCACGACCTTTTGAGTTCACGGTCCGCACCCTGCCATTAGGCTAGTGTAGCTATTTATGTATGTATGCATGTAATGTCTTAATGTATGTGTAAATGATAAATGGAGCTTTGGTGACTAAACTCTCATGGTGTTCCACCATCGTCGCATATAGGCAGGGCTATGGGATGCTTTCTCACAATCCCACTAGCGCCGGCCGTCTCATGGCGGATCCATTTAGGGAGAAGGCTACTTCTGCCCCTCATCCTTCTCCGACAAGGCACATCAGAACACAAAACACGTCTTTCTTAGAGACCTCCAAATTTTCCAACGCAAAAGACATCCCGTGTCCAATGTGCAGGAGCTATGGTGCCAGGAAAAACAAGCACTGGAAGGCACTAGCTTTCCTAACCCCTTGGGTAGGAAAATCCGCCTTGAATCCGCCGATTGACCTCTCGGTTGAAGTTGAACTTACCTAGTCGGACTATTTGTCCCAGGTAAATACTCGTTAACAACTTTTAGCTTAGTGCTCCCAATAACTACCGGCATAGGTGTGACATGGACGTTACAAATGATCTTTGTTTGGTCCATGTTCATCTAAGACCTATTTATTGGGAGACATTAGTGAGGTCATTGTGCATAGTGCTTAGATCCTCCAGTGATTCTGCCATAAGGATAATATCGTCGGCAAACCGATAATGAGTGATGTACTCGCCATTGATGTTAACACCGTATCCTTTCCAGAAAACGTCTTCCAATGCAACTGTTAAGAGTTTCGGGGATATAACGTCACCCTCTCTACGGTTGGATAGGTTTCGTTCTCAGTTTCTCTACCCGGATAGCCATCGTAGCCCTACTGTACAAACACGTCAGAGCTTCGATATACCGACAATTAACTTGGCACCGCTGAAGGAACTGCGGCACATATACGACAATCAACTTGGCACCGCTGAAGGAACTGCGGCACATATACCGACAATTAACTTGGCACCGCTGAAGGAACTGCGGCACATATACCGACAATCAACTTGGAAGTAAAGGAACTGGGTCTTGGCACCGCTGAAGGAACTGCGGCACACATACCGACAATCAACTTGGCACCGCTAAAGGAGCTGCGGCACATATACCGACAATCAACTTGGAACCGCTTCAGGAACTGCGGCACATATACCGACAATTAACTTGGCACCGCGAAGGAACTGCGGCACATATACCGACAATCAACTTGGCACCGCTAAAGGAACTGCGGCACATATACCGACAATCAACTTGGCACCGCTGCAAGAACTGTGGCACATATACCGACAATTAACTTGGCACCTGAAGGAACTGCGGCACATATACGACAATAACTTGGCACCGCTAAGGAACTGCGCATTGATCGGGGGACTGTGGCACCGCCCAAATTTCGACGGAATCAAAGGCTTTGTGATAGTCCACATACGCAAGGCATCGTGACAGATTGTACTCCTCGGTCTTCTGTACAATTTTCCGAAGAGTATGTATGTTGTCTATGATGCCTCAAGCCTTTTCGGAAACCGGCTTGTTCGGAAGACTGAAAGTCGTCGAGTTTGCGCGCGTCTTTAAAGTGTGTCTATAAAATTTAAATAACTGATTTCTTTTTTGTTCAAGAAATTATTTGCGGGCTAGTAAGACATATATAACAATTAAGACATAAATAACAATTAAGAGATAAATAACAATTAAGACAAATAACAATTTTGAAAATGTTATATTTTTGTCTGTCTCTGTCCGGGCCAATCTTCTCGATGGCTGAACCGATTATAATGAATTACGAGTAGATAAAGAGCAGTACCAGGACGGATCTAGGCTGTATTTTATGCAAGAAACTTGAAGATGCTTTTTTTTCGGAAAACCGAAAAATTGATAAAATAAATGTTCTTGGCTAAATAAAGTCACGGTTATTCGATCCCCCCCATGCGAAGCCAAGCGGCTCGCACGTCAAATTGATCGCAAGTCTCGGAAGAGAGTTATTGACGAAAGTGAGATTCCCTTTGGAATAATTCGTATACGAGTATATCTTTTATAACGAGGTCACGAGAGACTCTAGAGTAGTACGTTTTTAACAATCGGTTACTTTTTAACCATTTCAAGGATAAAATGGTCATAGTTACGGGGTCAGCAAATTTTTATCGGCAAAAAACTACAAAAAATTAAATTCTAGATAATAAATTACGCTTTTTTTTTAAATAATATTTTAAAGAGATTTTAATTGATGCTCTTTCTATTTTTAATATGTCATCTGATATTTAAGAGACATTAAAGAATATTTCGAAGACGCGCACTTCACCGCGCATTGGGGAAGCAAGGTGCTTACTTGCTCTTAAATGAGAATTTTCAGAAATCTCATATTAAGAGCAAGAACGAAGTAGGAAGAATTCTCAGAAATGAGGATGGGCAGTTATAAACGTGGTAGAGCCACAAAGGGTCAGCTCGACCGGGGTAGGACCACGCTCTTACAGAATACCAGTGTAAAATAGCTGCTTAGCGCTACTGTGTTTTGTATGGTGAGTGTAGTGTAGAGAACCGGATACTCTTTTTGCTGAATACATGGCATTCCATCACAGTCCTCAGGGACGACAACGCATCTGTATTTTAATTCTTAATCGAGAATAAATGTAGATGTCTATGGCCCACAGCATCCACTTACCATCGAGTGGACTGAGCTCGTTCGTCACCTGCATTCTATAAAAAAGAGTATGTGCCCAGCTGTAGGACGCATAAAGTCCGTTATTTTACTTTACAACCATTACAACCTTTGATGCGTGGTAGAGCCACGCTGCAACTATATTATGGTTGTAGCATGAATGGATTGGCTTAACCGGGGAAGTACCCCACTCTCACAGAATACAGAATACCAGTATTTCGTATGGTGAGTGTGGAGAACCGGAGACCCTTTTTAGTTGAAACGAGACATTTCATCTTAGTCCTCAGAGGTAGATAACGCATCTGCATTTTAATTCCTAATCGAGGATAAATGTCTTGGCCCGCAGCATCCACTTATCATTACTGTGTGCTCGTTTGTCACCCTTATTCTATAGAAGAAAAAGAAACTTCTAGATTTTAATTAAGTTTTTTTTTCTTTTTTTTTATAGAATAGGCTGACAAACGAGCACACAGTCCACCTGATGGTAAGTGGTTGCTGCGGCCCATAGACATCTACATCTATCTTCCATTACAAATCAAAATGCAGATGCGTTGTCACCCGTGAGGACTGAGATGGAATGCCTCATTTTCAGTAAAAAGGGTCTCCGGTTCTCTACACTCACCATACGAAATACAGCAGCATTAAGCTACCATTTCACGCTGGTATTCTGTGAGAGCGTGGTCCTTCCCCGGTCGAGCCGACCCATTCGTGCTACAACTATACTACTAATATAACTGCAGCATGGCTCTACCACGTAGAAAAGTTTTGTTCGAAAGGTGTCTTAATCGAGAGTGTTCTTAGCTATGTTTCAAGAAAATCTGTTTAGCCGTTTGTAGACCATCAGCCTTTTTTGGTTCGGGGTTTTATTTTTTTAGTTTAAGTTATTTAAGTGGCGGAGGCACTGAGCATCTGTTTTATGGTTGCAGCGCGGTCGAGCCGAACCGACCGGGGACGGAACATAATCTTACAAAATATCAGTCTATAATAAATCTCCTTCATAAGCCTATAAAAGCCCACTGCTGGGCAAGTCTTTCTCTGAAGTATAGGGGATTTCCCTTAAACGCCATGTTGGAAACGTCTCACTCCTTTGATACTGCTATCCATCTTTGGTTTTAGTATTTTAAGCTCGGCGTACACAGAATTTTTATAACGCCATCTATCGGAAACAATGACATATTTTCGCATTTCCCACTCCCCCCAAAGGGACGATAGATTCTACTACGTCCCCACCACACAGCACATAACAGTCTAACTGATGGTAATTAAATTAGACCGTTATTTTTAAACTCATCGCATTTTTTTTCTATTTATTTCAGTCTGCAGTTTACAGGTCCAGGGATTGGGGCTTTATCAGGCAGAAAGGGCTGTCGATGGGACTGGCGATGTTCGGAGAGGGTATGTCGATATCCAGATTGGCCGGTGAACTGCTCTTCGAGGGTTACGATGATCCACTACTGGATCTAGCGAAGAGTTTGCCAGAGAGCACAACTGGTGGGGCACCGCCAGTAGACAGATTTGGATTATTCTATGGGGTATTTACTTTACGATTTAGATTCTGTTCATCCTTCATAAATATACACCGTTTTTTTTAAATATGAAATGAGGGTGACAAATGAGCACACAGTCCACCTGATTATAAGTGGACTCTGTGGCCCATAGACATCTACATCAGTCCTCGATTACGAATTATAATTCAGATGCGTTGTCACCAGTGAGGACTAAGATGTAATGCCCTGTTTCCAGTAAAAAAGGAGTTCTGGGTCTCTACACTCACTATACGAAACAGCAGCATTGGGCTGCTATTTTGCGCTGGTAGTCTGTAACGGCGTGGTCCGGGTCGAGTGGACCCGTTCGTACTTCAACTTTAATATAGACGCACCGTGGCTCTACCACATGTAAATCGTAACGTCCTTAGTCGACACCCCCAGTACCAGATTTCGCATACATTATTTTGTTGTGATGCTTTACGCCACAAAAAAGATTAGATTTAGAAGAATAGATTATAAGATTCTTACACATACCACACCCACGGGATGTATGATGTTCTGAAGTCACCACATTACTACAACCACACGTCAATAATAATTTAATTTTTATTTTTAATAACATAATTATTTTTATATTAAAAATAATAGATTTTTAATTAAAAATAATGATTATTAAATGCCGTATTACTCTTATCATAAAAGCCATGAGAATTTTCTGGCGTTTCCAATAGTCACTTTTAACGACACCAACGGCAAAAAGCGGGGTAATACGAGTAGAGACACAGAAAATAAATTAATGTTGTACACTAAGGCTTGGTTTACATTTTGAGAAGTGACAAGTGCAAGTGGCAAGTGCAACTGATAAATGACAAGTGCTTAGTTCATGTGACCAGGCAGTGACAAGTGATAAGTGGGAATAAAATACGCACTTGGCACTTCTCACTTGCCACTCGCACTTGTCACTTCTCAAAATGTAAACCGGACCTAATAGTGCAGTTCAATAAATGGTAGGACTTCTTTTACTAGGCCACAGGACTGTTTTTCGGCCTAGGAATCTGTCTGGTGCTATAGTGCTATTTGGCGACAAAAATAAGTAAAAGTGTAGTACACTTTTACTTATTTTTGTCGCCAAATAGCACTGCTTGCACTAATGTGTTCTGTTCTGAAGGGTACATAGAGCCATAATTATAGGAACAAAGTGGAATTCCGATTCAGGATTATGAATGCGTCAAGTCCATATAAAATCAAGGACCCGCGTACGCGTAGGTGTGTGACGTAGCTACGGTAGTTTTCCGTTCGAAATTTTGCGAGCAAAACGTGATTCCGTATTTGAGTGGCCGATCCGTTCGTTCCATTTCGAAATTCCGAAACGGAATTACGTTTGTAGCGTGTGGTTCGTGTCCATTAATTACAGTAGTCGCTATCAGGTGGACTGTTCGTTTATTTGTCACTTTGGTACTCTAAAAATTAACTCCCGTGTAATGAAATCCTCTGGAGTGATGTTATTTAGGGGCATCGTATGTGCCCTTTGTATTGATGACTACTTTTCTAAGTACCAATTTACCTCATGCTTTGCGATGAAATAATAAAAAAGTCAATATTAGATACAATGCTGTTTACTAAGTAATAAAATTAGATCGTTTGTAGGCCAAAGGCCATATAAACACTTGTTTTGTGCGGGATTAGATCCCGCGGCCTTTAAGTGTTATAACGAAACGCATAGCCATTGTGCTACTGAGCCGTCGAGGTTTAGTTTGACATCTTAATTTTTTATCCAATTTTTCACTATTCCAGAGAAACAACTCAATAGACACGGATGGTTTCATGGAGGTGTCAACGGGCGCTCGCAGTGGCTCGTTACCTGGACAGATCTTGAAGTGGAATCATCTCGACCATCTGCCATATTACGGCGGTAAATGTTCAAAGGCAAGCATAATAAACAGTTTTGACTAAACCGCGATACATTTTAGTTCATCAGTTTTAAGATTTGAGTTCTCGCTGATGCTGATATGCATATACGTCATCATCAACTATTAGTTGTCTATTGCTGGATAGTACGCGTCTCATTTAACGAAGTGGTGCTCTAACTGCCACTCTAACTGATATAAGTGGTAGAGCCATGCAGCAGCTATATTATGATTGTAGTACAAATGGATTGACTCTACCGGGTAAGGAGCACACTCTCACAGAATAGCAGCTCGACGCTGTTGTGTGGTTTGGTGAGTTTAGAGAACTGGTGACACTTTTTATTGGTAACAACGCATTCCATCTTAATTCTCTGAGGTGAGGTGGTATCCGCACTTTTAAGATGTAGTATAATAATATAGTATGGTATGTAGAATGTAATATAGTACAATACAGTTCCATCCACTTACCATCAATAGGACTGAATGTTCGTTTTTCACCCTTATTCTATAAAAACAATACATTACATATGCACAGCTGGCGGGTAGTGCTGGCGAGTTCATGCCGCACAATCTGACGGAGGAGTCAGGCCTTACTCTGTTCGTGCCGGACTTGTGCCGCACGGTTCACATGCAGCACACCGACAGTGGACAGATAGGGGGTCTGCCTTACCACAAATACGCTCTCACGGAAACAAGTTTCGACAACTGTAAGTTCAAGTTACTGATTTGATTCTTATTTCTCAACAGCATAGATCCGAAGAGAGATTCCTTCCTATACAGAAAAAATTAAATAATTCAATATATTAACTTTGGCCTCTCAATATATTTAAGAAAATTTAATGTATGTACACAAAAACAAAAATAGTTTTATTAAAAATAGTGATGTACATTCTGTAAATACTAGCAACAAGCACAAACTAGTTATACCAATTACTCGAATTAAAAGAGTCAGCAATTTGTTCATGGGGAAATGTACCAAAAATATCCAGCATTTATCAAATACACATATATCAAAAAGTTTAAAAATTTTCCTAAGCAAAAATTATTTAGTATGGGTGGTGATCGATACAATGATGTTCTTAAATGTTTTATAAAATAATAAATTACAATAATTTTTTAAAGAAAACAGTCCCGCTGGGTTTCTTGCTGGTTCTTCCCAGGACAGAGGTTTTTTTTTCTGCACCAGTGGTGAAGCTTAAATGACTCAATAGGTATTGTTACGAGCTTGGGGTTCAAGACAATAAAATCTGCCGAGTGAATTACCAAAATTAAAACTTAAATTACAGAACACTAATTACAATTTAAAACCGCACTAATATCACAAACCAATTGTACTACTGATCGCTTTAGTTCGCAGTTGTATCGCTTAGAAGTATTCGCTTGATCGCCGATTCATTACTAGCCCGGGTTGCGGTCTATACCGACCTTGTATAGGGCCTCAGATAGTTCCAGAACCTTCTACTGTAGAAACATCAAGAATAGTCGAGTACGTACCGTTCCCGACTGACTAGGTGACGATAGTTCTAGTTCTGCTACTCGATACTAGAGGGCGCCAGTGGTAACTAGTGTCCCCATGTATCAGGCATAAAAACAATATTCTTGTAAACTAAATTGAATTAAAATGATTCTATACTGTTTTATTCTCCTTATTCCTCCCCACCTCTCCCAATGTGGGGATGCTTCAGTCTTGGTTTGGAATTTGGATTGACGATCGCAGTACCAGAAGTTACGTACCTTTGACGCTGCTCTGTGTCACCTTATTCTATAAAAAAAGATATTTCAATTTTATTTATATGTAAAAGTTTGTACATCATAAATTTGTTTTTCTTTCTCTTTAGCATCATCATCACCATCGAACTCGTGTTTCTGCAACGGCGAGTGTGCTTGGGGTGGGGTGATGAACGTATCATCGTGTCGCTACGGATCGCCGTCATTCCTCTCGCTGCCGCACTTCTTGTACGGTGACCCTCAACTGCGAGAACTCGTCAGCGGCATGGAGCCTGACCCTGAGAAACACTCCTTCTACTTCGCAGTGGAACCGGTCAGTGAATTTTTAGTTATATAACATGTAACAATAACCCTGTGGTTCCCGTTAAGTGTTTCGTATGTGAGTGTGTGTAGAAATCCGGAGACCTTTTTTACTGGAAGCAAGGCATTCGATCTTAGTCCTCAGGGGTGATAATGCATCTGCGTTTTGACTCTTAATCGAGGATAAATGTAGATGTCTATGGACCACAGCATACACATACCATCAGGTGGACTGTGTGTTCGTTTGTCACCTTATTCTATAAAAAATTAGTGGTGAATGATTGATGAATGAATAAATAATTGAATAGTAAGATTATTTTGTCATGTATAGACACATTTTTACCGATTACAAAAAGGTATTCAATTCGACTGTTTGTTTTTTATGTGTGTTACTCAGATACTACTTTCTGGGTAAACCGACTTTATATAGTTCCTTTTTATTTGAAATCTGGTGCTTTTCGTGTGGTCCAATATAAATTTCATCAAGACCTGACCAGCAGTTTTTGAGTTATTTTTAATAAAGCGTATTTAATTGACTTCGAATACATTGATTCGATCGTATTGAAGTCGGTTGTACAAAATTTTTAATTTTAGCACTAGTAATATTAATGCTGTATTATTGTCCGTTTAGAATTTAGGAGTACCCCTGGATGTTGCAGGGCGCTTTCAGCTAAACGTGTGGATGGAACCTAGCGAAAACATTGCGTAAGTTCTTTCATGTTTTCTTTACTCGTTAAAAGATAATGAGATGTGCTAAGTAGTCGAATACCACAGAAGCTAAACTTGGTAGCGACCCGCCCCAGCTATATTAGCTCCACCGGGGTGGGACCACGCTCTCGCAGAATACCAGCGTTAAATAGCAGCTCAATGCTGCTGTGTTTAGTATGGTGAGCTTAGAGAACCGGAGACCCTTTTTATTGGAAACAAGGCAATCGAGTCCTCAGGGGTGACAACGCATCTGTATTTTGATTCTTAATTGAGGATAAATATAAAGGTTTATTTGCCACATCATCCACTTACCATCATGTAGACCGTGTGCTCGTTTGTTACCCTTTTTTTATAGGATAGGGTGACAAACGAGCACACAGTCCACCTGATAAGTGGTTGCTGTGGCCCACAGACATCTACATCTATCCTCGATTACGAATTAAAATGCAGATGCGTTGTCACCCGTGAGAACTAAGATGGAATGCTTCGTTTTCAGTAAAAAGGGTCTCGGGTTTTCTACACTCACCATACGAAACACAGCAGCATCAAGCTACTATTTCACACTGGTATTCTGTGAGAGCGTGGTCCTTCCCCGGTCGAGCCGACCCATTTCTTTTTTCTTCACCTTTGACACGCCTTCTCTCACTTCACTTTTGACAACTTCTGTTAGGGTTTCTGATTTTGTTTTAGCGCAATGAAGTGTCTACCGCTCTGCCCAAATGCGGGTTGGTGGAATTCACACATCTTTAAAATATATCTTTTTAATTTTTTAAAGAAACAAGTGTCGTTCTAACTTAACTTTCTACACCACCACTTTTGTGTTGAGTTATTAAGAGCACAAGTAGCACACAAGCGTTATGAACATCAATATACCAGCCCATATAGAACTTAGAGTTCTTTTAGAAGCGTATAGGAGTGTAGAAAAGATGTTGTATCCTTATAAGAGTGCTCTATGTGTTATTATACAGCTCAAGCTGTAGAAATTCTGTATTATGGTATTTAAGTAACCTTAGGGTAACAACTTTAAGTATTTTGTTACAATTGAATTACTATCCGTCATTCATTGAAATTACTATCCGTCACTCGAATTGTCAACAAATTATTTCAAAATTTATTAAAAATCGACTTGCTAAGATCTAAGATAAAATGATGTGTCTTACCTAGTTTGAAGAGCACCTCCCGCCCTCTCTCGATTGCGTGCAATATTTCCATCACCACCAAACCCTGCATCACTATTCCCAACACTAGGAAAGACACACGCGTTTTATTACATCGCACATCGCGAAAAAACTCATGATACCATCCATACTATCTGGATGACTGGCGGTCCACCACCGTGCGATTGAAAAGAAGATTTTTCCTCGCACAACTTCCTTGTGGAATTGACTATCACCAGAGATTTTTCCGGACCGATACGACTTAGGGACCTTCAAAAAAAGAGCCTACTCCTTTTTAAAAGGCCGGCAACGCACCTGCAATTCCCCTGGTGTTGCAGCTGTTCATGGGCGGCGGTAACCACTTACCATCAGGTGAGCCGTATGGTCGTTTGCCCCTCTCCTATAAGAAAAAATTACGCGGATCTTAGTGAGTTAATTTTTAACATCTATACAAATAAAATAAAATAGCAAGTGCTTGTTTGTAATATCATAATAACTGCTCTTTACTAAATGCCTATAACAGTATTTATACGGTACTTATAACAAAAAACAATTTTTTTTATTTGTGTCTGTTTGTTCCGGCTAATCTCCGAAACGGCTAGACCGATCTTGACGTTATAATGAGTAACTTAGGCTTTACTCTTGTTTTAGAAAAGGAATTAGGGTTCCGCGCAAAAATAAATTAAACACATGAAAGAAAGAAAGAAGAAAGAAAAACTTTATTTGAAATCACTAAGAAAAATATCGAAATATTAAAAAAAAACAATATTTTTGTTTTTTTTCAGCCAACTGCTGCTGAAGTAAATGACAGCAGCGCTTTTTTCGATTTTCAAATAGAGCCCAAAAAGCCATGAAATCCATCGTAATAAATTTCACGCGAAAGAAGTCGCGGGGAACACCTAGTCTTTTATATAATAGAAAAAAATAACGCCTGATTCTATTAATTAACAAATTATTTGTCATAGTTGACTACTGAAGATATTTAGAAACGTTTTCATTGACAATCAACCATAATTTCTTTTACAGTTTATATGAGAACGTGCCCAAGATGCTGTTCCCAATATTCTGGGTAGAACAGCGAGTGCGTGTAGAAGACCGGGTGCTGTCAGAGCTGCGTGTAGTGCGCGGGATATACGACTGGGGTGGGGCGGTTTGTGCCGGGATGACCCTGTTCTTCACTGCTTTCGCTGTCAAAGTGCTTTGTTGCGCTAAGAAACATAAATATTCAAGATATTCCAGGTTGGATCCTTTAAGTAGTTTTTATACTTGGTACAGCCACGCTGCAGCTATATTATGGTTGTAGCACGAATGGGTCAGCTCGACCGGGGAAGGACCACGCTCTCACAGAATACCAGCGTAAAATAGCAGTTTAATGCTGCTGTGTTTTGTATGGTGAGTGTAGAGAACCGGAGACTAGTTTTGCTGGAACCAAGGCCTTCCATCTTAGTCCTCAGGGGTGACAGGGAATATGCATTTTAATTCTTAGTGAAGGTTAAATATGTAGATAGGTCACAGCATCCGCTTACCATCAGGTGAACTGTGTGCTCATTTGTCACACTTATTCTATAAAAAAAGTATCCTCGCTGTGCGGGCAGATTTTATTGAATTTGCATTGAGCTGTTAACAGTGACACCCACGGGATGATATGGTGCAGCGGATTCCATTACATAGGCACTATACAATTATAAGATGTAAAAGTGAATTAGCTATACCGCGTGATAAATAAAATGTTATGAACTACTTATTTTCAAGAGCACTTCCTACAATTGCGTGAATTATCACTACCGCGACGGGAGGGAGTGAAACAGGAGACTGCGGTTGCTAAACCGCTTGCGTTGTCACCCCTGAGGACTAATGGAATGCCTCATTTCCAGTAAAAACGGTCTCCGGATCTCTACACTCATCATACGAAATACAGCAGTATTAAGCTGTTATTTTACGCTAGTATTCTGTGAGAGCGTGGTCCTTCCCCAGTCGAGCCGATACATACGTGCTGCAACCACAATATTGATGCAGCGTGGCTCTACCACGTAGAAAAAGCTGTAACAATATTATGTTTTAGTCTGAAATGTTTTATTAAATGAGTAAATTTTAAATACTATAATTTACAGAATTAAATATAATTAAAAGGTTACACAACATATAAAAATACTATAAAAAGAAAAATTAAACTAAAATTTTTAATTATCATACAGTCCCCGTGGTATTGTTCCAAGAACGCTGGCTGCATTTCCTCGCTGAATGGCTACACTTAGCCTTTGAGCTAGAAAAAAACCAACCCACTTATCACCAGCAGCGACGATCAGTCGCGGATAGTTCCTTTAGAAACGTTACCGTTCGTGAATACTGCACGAACCGATAATCTCTGTAGCAAATGGCACAAATATTTAGTCATCTCTCAGAGACTCACATTTGCGCTACTTACTTAATTCAGCTGCCTCTGATGCCTCTCCAGCTTTAAACGAGGTACCCCTGAGATGACTGGCTGAAAGCATCTAATACAATCTTTTTTTCCAGGCCTTGCGAAGTCATTAGCGGGAAACCAAAGGATGAAGCGGAACTAAAATTGAACTCAATGTAGGATTAAACAATCAGCCTGTAGGACCAGAAAGTCCTAGAATGCGCCATATTATTTCTAGTTACCTAAGTCCTAAATAATCCCTCCAAGAAATGTATTGGCTAATCGGAGATTTTTGGAAGGATTTAACTGTTGTATGTCAGAAACTGCCTAGAATCGGTGTGTATATAAACTAGAAATCTGTTTGTAACTTTTTAAATAACTTAATAATGATATTTCAATAAGAACTACGTGTCTTTATTTAATTTAATGCGTAAATGGTGCATGAAAATGAAAACTATGTATGTCTTGATTGCATAAATTTTATTATCGAACGCGACTTCGCCCGCGTATAATGTATTACAATTGGATTTCATGGGTTTTAATAGTTTTGCGCGGAACCCTAATTCTTTTTCTAAAATAAAAGTAGCCTAAGTTACTCCTTATAACATGCGCTTTCTTCCAGTCAAAGTATCGTCGAAATCTATCCAGCTATTTCGGAGATTAGCGGGAACAAACAGACACACAGACAAAAATTTAACAAAGTGTTTTTCTTTTAAGTACCGATACTTTCATATGCATTTAGTAAGAATTTTGACATTACAAATAAACACTTCAATCTTATTTATTTGTATAGATGACAGATATATTTTAGAACAGAAAAAGCAAAAGAAATCTTAAAAGGAAAAAAGGTTTAAATGAAATAAAAGAATTTTTAAAATTTTTCCTGTTTACTTTTGACTTTGTAAAGTGTTGGTCAAGTTGTTGAGATTTTGGCAGCAGATTTTGGCAAAGAATTACATACACTTTAATAATATTTATCGGCCTTCGACATTGTATTATTTTATAACATGTTCTTTATTGTAAATGAAATTGTAACACGGCTTTAAAAAAGGACCTCACAGTTCCTTGCCGGTACTTCTCTGAGAAACAGTACGGATTATCTTTAAGGCAAATTAGGCACTTGCCTAGAGGCGAAAGTTTACAAAGAGGCGGGCGCGGAAGTTTATAAACGAAAAAAAATTAAGGAAGTACGTAATTACCAACATAAAATAAAAAATCCTACTTTCTATAGAGACGTAGAGCTTCCTGCATTACTTTCACATTCCCATCACATCTTTTATCCACACCCAGCTGCAACTAAACTATATTATAAATTATAAGAAAGAAAGACATTAATTCACTGAAGTAATACACATCATATAAATAAAAAGACAGTCAAACGTATACGTACGTTTAGTATATAGTATATTTAATATAATTTACTTGCAATATAAGTAGTTTTAATTTATAATATATCATTAAAGAGGCAATAATTGGGTGCTAGTCTAGGGCGCTGTCGACATTTAATCCGCCTCTGCTGAGAAGGTCTTGTTTTGGCAATCGCTGTAAATTTTAACGTTTATAAGAATCGCCTAAGTTGAATTAAATGTTTTGACCTTGGTTTCGGTTAAACAGTAAAAGCAACATTGCCGGGATGCACTCTGCTAGGTATTGCATAATAATATTGCAAAACTATCGCTTGCAGTATTGCCCAGCTAAGCTTTCAACAAGATTTCCAGCAAGATACAGTTTTTATAGCCAGAAAGAAATTCATTCATTATTAATCTGTGGTTAGCAGAAAAATGTTTTTACCTTTATATTTATAACGCTCAGAAGGGCTAGAACCCAGAGCCGTGAAGCCAGTTAAATAAAAAAAATGTTATATTTTAAACCATAAATCCATACTTTATACGCTTTCATCAGCTTGACCAGTGTGTATGCATTGTATGTAGTGTGTGTGTGTGAGTATGTAGGTATTTTCACCCATTTCCAGACGTCTAAATAAACTGAAATTTTGTAGACCGATGATAATACAATTTAATTTAATTTAATGACTGACTGAGTTTTCCTCATCAGATAAACTCTTACTATGAATATTGAGATACAAATAGCATATAAGTTTTGTGTTATTTTATATGTGTAGATTATAAGAATCATGTCTTTGTCTTGGTGTTGGATCGGTGGTGTCAAAACATTCATCTTTAATTAATTAAAGTTTGTCTTTTCTTTTTTTTTTTTTGGTAATTGTACGATTTGTACTTTTGCCAATGTCAAAAAAATTGGAAATTACTCATCTAATATTTTTTTAACAAAATACCTGACAATATGTTGATGCAATATATTTAGCAAACAATATATTTAGCAGGGATGGGAGATATGATAAGGATATAGAACGACGAGTGAATGCGGGAAATAGAGTAAATGGGGCCTTGCACTCTATTGTGAAGAGTCAAAATGTGTCGAAAAAGGCACGTATGGCAATTCACAATGCTGTGTTGGTTCCTACTTTAACGTATGGTAGTGAAAGTTGGGCGTGGCAGAAGAAGCACGAGAGTAGAATAAACGCAGCAGAAATGCGGTCGTTAAGGAGTATGTTAGGGATGAATCTGAATGACAGGGTAAGAAATTGTGTAATAAGAGAAGAGTGTGGTTTGCAAGATGATGTTGTGACCAGGATTAAGAAAGGAATGCTTCGGTGGTTTGGTCATGTGGAAAGAATGAATGAGGAAAGAGTGACAAAGAAAATTTATGTTGCAGAAGTGAATGGCAGAGTCGGAAAGGGACGTCCTAGGCGAAAATTTATCGACCAAATTGGCGATTTATTGGAAACGGGCCAAATTAGGAGTACCCTTAACCGACGAGCATGTATGCGTAGGTGTATGGATGTGAAGGAGGCGAGAGAGGTGTGTCAGGATCGTGCCAAATGGAAATCTGTAGTCTCTGCCTACCCCTCTGGGTGACAGGCGTGAGTGTTTATGTACGTTGATGCAACAAATTGCGAAGTTTACGGGGGTTTGCTTGATATCAGACAGTCGATTATAAGGGTATTTCAATACACTAACGGACATAATTCACCTTCGGAACACTTGTTTCATCGTTCTCACTTATTGTTTTACAGTTTATCAAAGTCCATGGCTGAACAATGGCCTCCCCCATAAATTGCTTCATGGGGGGATATTTGCTAGAGTTACCACGGTTGGCAAGCGGGTTGGCAAGCGCTGCTCCCCATCTCCTGATTTGTTTCCCTCTGTCGCCTCTTACGACACCCACGGGATTATAAGGCGTAGTGGGTATTCTTACACCGCTACAACACGGCAGTAGTGGTAAGTAGTAGTTTACATGCGACATTATTTCTCGTACATACTTTAGCAGACATTCCAGACACGGGAAGTCCTCAATTCGACTATATTATGTTAAAAGATATCTTCATCAATTGTTAACCCAATTTAAAGATTATTTTTTATATTAAGCAAATTGAAAACATCGCTTCATATACATATATGTGTATATGCACTTTTTAACAAATTAAATTAAGATTTCTTCTTGTAGTTAAGTATTAAACTGTGGAATAGGTAATTATAAGATAAATATTTAAGTTCTTGTTTTTAAATTAATTCATTGCTTTTAAGCCAAATAATTCCATTGAAAGATTATTTACTGTGATATGCTTAGTATAGTGATCGTAATCGCTCACTAGTTTAGTAAAAATTGGATATTATCACATAGCGCCTAAATTTTAGTAAACATGAAAAGGTTAGCATGTATCATTGCCTTTAATAAATATACAGGCGCTAAAATAATCAACATCCTAACTTAGTATATTAAATAACATAGTAAAATTTATAACAGCAGTGTTCTTTTATTTATTTTGATATTATTTTAACTGTTGCAATTCATGACATAATTAGATTTAAAAAAAATATAACGGCTGTGACAAACAATATCGTTTTTACACTCTTTATTTGGCTTGTTATAAGTACCTATATAGAATGATTGTCAAATGATATTTAAATTTTATTCAATTTTAGTTTTATTTAAGTCAATTGCATGTAAACGTAATTTTTGATTGTTTGTAATTAATTTTCCAATACAATGTAATATTGTTCTATGGAATAAATGACTGACTATGACTATGATCTATAGTACCTATATTATATCTATGTATGCATGTAATGAATAAATGGAATTTTATAGTTCAGTTATTACCCACTTCCAGCCATATAAATAATTTGAAAATTTTCACTCATATTAAAAACCCGTGACAGTACGATATTTTCGTAACTATTACCTAGTATTCTTATTTTTTATAATTTTAATGTTTGTTACAGCCACATGACTTTATATATAAGAAATGCATTGTAGAGTATGAAATATGTATCAACTAATTTTAGTTAGTTGATACATTTCATTAAACTAATTTTTAATTTAAACCAAGAAGGCATTTTACACATAGGATGGAATTACATTTAATACTATGAGGGGTTATATAATTATGAGGTATTATAATATCCTTCAAGTACACTGATTAATAAATAAAAATTCACAATTTACAAACTAAATCAGTAAATATGGTAATATTAAGATTTATGTATGTACCTATTTTGTTCGCCTTTTGTAAATGATACAATTTTACAATTAATGTATTCCAATTGCAATCTAATACGAAGAGAAATAATAAATTCGTTTACAAGGAAAACAATAGTTTTAATTCAAATAAACATAAATTAAAGAACCACAGCCACAACGGGTTGCAATTGCACCTCCCAGATCTAGAATAAGAATATACCTAACACACATACGTACGCACTATCGGATTGGTACATCAACATACATCGTAATAAAATTTGAATTCGGCACTAATGGTGATGTAAGAATATCTACTAGCCCATAAGAGGCGACAGAGGGAAAATATCAGGAGATAGGCAGCAGCGACTTCCTAATAACGGCTGAAAATTAAAAAAAAAACTTCGATTGCCAACCCCCCTACGAAACGTGGAAACTATGGCAAATACGGGGTGTATTTGCCATAGTTTCCACAGTATTAGGCAATCTATGGCGAGGCCTATTTTCAGATGTATAATATATTATGGTAGCACTAATAGATCAGCTCGATTGGGGAAGGACCACGCTCTCACAGAATACCGGCGTAAAATAGCAGCTTAATGCTGCTGTGTTTCGTATGGTGAGTGTAGAGTTCCGGA